TTTCCGGATCGGTGCTGTGCATCCGATTCAACAGCTTCTTGAATGGCTCCCAGAACTCGAGGCTGCACATACAGGGCGAGCGATCGGTCAATTGTATGCGACTTCGCATCTATCGATGTATGCGCAAGCCTGACACGTACTAGATTGATTCGTCGAAGCCCGTCTTCTTGAGAAGGCTGCGGAGCAAGGGGCATGCGACGCGTTCAGTATTACCAATACCACCAGAGCAGCAATGCCACCAGCAAGTGGAGACGACGCTCACGCCAATGTCCCTTCCAAGTGCTTCACGATGAAATGGTGCATAGGCCTGTCGTTGAAATGCAGCAGCTTCTGCACCAGGGCGAAAGCGAAAGCAGCGTAGAAGCAGTTGCCTGTTCACATCAGGTGGCGAGTAGAGGAGCCTATCAATGCTGGACCAGCCCGCGCTGCAGAGCTGTACGGCACTCACCATCACCGCGCACCCTGCGCATACCTGATGGAAGCGAGTAGAGAGTCTTGTATCAGCTGGAGTGCTGATCTTCCCGTCACTCGCTCTAGCCGGCCGCATTGAGAGTTCAATGACGGTACCAAATGCCCACCGCCGCCACCGCAACATTGCATAAGCTACTTCCAAGCTTATAAGCGAGTCGAAATGCCCCTTGAATGCCGACAGATTCGCATCCGAATCTCCCCTCAACTCACCAATGAAGTCTCCCTTCTCTCTCAACCACTTGACCTTGTCGGCAAACTCCGCATAATTCCCCTTCCTGTACTCCTCCTCTAATCCGTCCAAAGTCTCTTGGGGTCCCAGAAGAGCCTGACCGGAAATGCTTTCTTCCTTGGCTCTCTGTCCAAGCTCTGCTCTCTGGGCATCTGTGAGGTCAGAGAGCCTGATTGGCGGTGGTAGAAGAGATGTCAGGCACTTAGCTCATCAGTGACGCTGTGAACATAGTGAACACGGCCGCGTACTCACTTTGTGTCTTTTGTGACTTCTGCAGCCGACATTGTGGGGCGGTAGGAGTGAAGTGCCAGCGGGCGGGGGTCAAGCTTGCACCAGTGTCGACCGTAGTTAAGAAGCCTACTCAGACTTGTGACTTGGCCTTGGCTTGCTGTGATACGGGCGGCGAAAGCGCGTCTGGAATGTCAAAAAGGTTGGAGCAGTACAGTCGCTTACCCGAACAACCGAATGGAGACCTTCTTGCGCTTTTGTGATCGAGCAAGCTGTGGACAGCGAATGCGTGTTCGGGTATCAAGTCTGATGAGTGCGAAGTGAGGGTGATGTTCAGAACGAGGCAGACGTCGT